AATAAAATAAAATATAAATAAAATCCCATGTAAGACTGGGATATTGCAGTACATTTCATGTTATACTATCTACTTTCCAATAAAAAGGTATTCATATATCTTCCATATAAACTTTAGTATGCCCAGGTAACTGCTAAAATCCTGCATCACAAATCTGTAAATGACTTGCAGATAATGTGAATCAAACAAAGAAACCAAACCTCACACCAAACATATATTCTGTACTTTTGCGTGTTTTAAAGAATATTAAAATAAAATATGGCATGGACAACTATAGCATAATCCTTACCTGCATAGAATTCTGGACTATAAACTGCACCAACAACTGGATTTAATTTCCAGCCTGCAGCAAACATAAAAACATAACTGAGTTAATATTGCAATTAGTGATGATAATAATAATTGTTATTTTTTAATTTCATTTTTGTATAGAGGTGTACAGATAAAATGGCTTCAAAAAAGGTCATTTTAATGAAAGTTGTATCAGCATCTTAGATTACTGATCTTTAATATCAGACTCTGAAGTATGGAAATAGGTAATGAAGCAAGGCATTCTCTGGACACGTAGCACAGGAGCAAATTATCAGGTGAGTTACCTTGGCACAGTTGCCATGGACTGATTCCCTTAAGTTATGGATTAAGTCAGAACTAGTTCCAGCATCCCTATATCAGGTAGTACCAGAGTAGATCAGTTCTTTGTCATGGCTTTAACTCTCTGGTTTCAAGCCAGAGCGGCCAAAACGGTTCAGTCGCTGGACAGAAATGTTTCTGAAAAGCATGTGGTACTGTAGGTTACAAGGCAACCAAATAATCTGAGCGCTTTGATTCTACTCTGGGAAAAATGACAACGTAGGCACTGTATGGAAATGGCTGTTGGGACACGAGAGAGATTTGGGGGGATCCCAGTCAAACACTAGAGACTTTTTTCCCGTTTGCATTTGTACCCCAGACTCTCTGCCCTGGCAGAGGACAATCGCAGGCCCGTCCCAAAAGCGACCGTCCCGCCTGCATTTACAGCCACGAGACGCTGTTAGCTGCAGCTAAGAAGATGCTGCAGTCACATTCTGCAAAGCTCTTCGGTGGTGCAAACGCAGCTGCTGCCTTTGTCTGAAATGATCGCCCTCCTCCCACAGCTGGCATAAAACCCCGGCACAGAACCGACAGTCTGTATCGGGTGTTCTGGCCAAACCCCCAGCAACCGCTGTCGGGTCCTTCCGCCCGATGGGGTGTTTCAGGTAAGGCTGGAGCGCGCAGGCTGGCTGCGTGACGCTAAAGATGGCGATGCTGAAGGAACTCAAGGGAAGGGAACGCCAGGAGAAAACACTGGCAAACTCATTAGCGTTCTCAGCTGTGCTAAAGCACAGATTATCATTGAGTTTTGCTCAGCCACAGGTGGATCCACTCCCAGTTAACTCCAAACTCCACAGAACATCTCCCCTAGCTATGCCCCCCCTTTTAAAAAAAAAAAAGTGTTTGAACAATTAGTTGAACTACTGGGACTGAAAAATTAGAGGTTTTCCAAAAGCACATTTGAATCAGAGGAGTAGGAAGCACCATTTGTAAATGGGAATAAAGAAAAAAACCTGCAGAAAAGCATCTTTTACTCTGAAGAACTGTGGTACTTTAAATAGATTGTATAACTATGCTGCTGGAAACAAAATACAATCAAGACAGGGACAACAAAACTTTTCAAAATCAGAAGAGCCAAGATTCAAAGAATTTAAACGCAAACTGTATTGAGGCTTGCTTCTGCCTTGGCCACATCATGGTAATGCAAAAGTGCAGCAGAAGACTGTAAAACCATGATGCATTATAAGACTGAAAAAGTGTAATACAAAAACCTCAGTAATAACAACACAAAACTATTCCCACCCTTTAAACATCCTGCTATCTCCATCTGATGCACAGTAACCGTTTACCAGTAATTAACCGTTCAGTAACAGAGGTGAGGGGTGGTTTTGAAATGCAACTCATTAGTAAGTTCAGAGTAAAGAGCAGCACTGCATGCAATCTGCTCTGCAGAAGTAATTGCAGCTGCTATATGTACCTCAAAGGCAATTATGGAAGCTGAAAAACGGCCAACCAAGAAGGGCTAAGATGACTTTCTTCCTGAAAATATCACAGGAATTTTACCTGACCCTTCAGTTTTACATACTACAGAATTATATTTAGGAATGTCATGGTATAACAAATACTTTTAGCCAAATTTTATGTGAGAGCAAATCATTCCATTTTTGAGACTTTCAGAAAAACCCTAACTTTTTATAGCTTAGGGAATATTTAATATTTCAAATTCATTACTACCTCAAAAGACCACTGATCAACACCATTCAAGATGAAAGATTGGACCGAATTTCAGATCTGTCAGCTTTTGCCGTCAAAGAAGCTGACAGACACCTCTCGGCTTCTAAGTTACACTAACAGTGCCACAATTTGTCTGAGGGGAAGAGAAAATCTTGGGAGATGCAGATTGCTCTTCACAGCTGAAAGCCACTCTCATATTTCAGGTCCTTACCTCTCTCTCAGTGATGGCTGTCTCATCTAACTTTTTGAAGCTTACACAGGAAATACTTCATTCATCGTGAAAATAACGGTAATTAAACTGAACTTTATCTTGTCAGCCAGCAACGTGCTGGCCCATAGCTGTGTGGGTTAATCAGCTGTGATAGTAGTTGGCGTATGCGAGCGAGCAGCTGCCGAGTAACCCTACTTCAGCAGCTGGAGGAGGCAAATTCTCTGCAGTGGGTGTAATTTGGTGCATTTTTCTTACTGTCACAATATTAATCTCCTCAAGCTGAAACTATAAAAGCTCAAAACTTAAAAACCGAACAAGGAAGCAAACAGCCCCTCTGCTTGCCCAAACCCCACCCTGTACAGCCAGCCAAAGAAATGCACGTTAAGCATGCTGAAGGCGAGGAAATAATCAGGCTGCGCAGTGTGACGAGCTTTGGTACCCAGCGGGGCACGGCAATGCAGAGAGCATTATTGTCACTTCACAGGCCAGACAGGCACCCGTGGCCGGAGGAAAGCTTTGGTGGGAAAGAAGCCCTGCCACACCGTTTGCTGTCCTCCTGGTGGCATACGGAGCGGGCAGGAAAGGGGAGGGGGAGGGAATTTAACTGTGGTAATAGTCACTAGCTGTGATTTTCAGTCTAAATTTAGATCAACAGAAGGCTCAAATTCAAGGCATTGCAAGTATAAACTTTAAAACTTTTATCCCTCTGCTGATCTCTGTTTGATGTTCCTCATTCATTGCTGCAGTCCTCTGAATCTACTTGCACGTCATTCTCTATTCCCTGCAACGCTGGGATGAGCATCCCGAATTGCAATACGGGCATCCAGAGAAAGTACAACTAAACAGGACAGGTTGGAACATCTAAAAATGTCTCAGAAGTATTTTTGCCAACAAGCAGAACTCCTGACACTGAATTTATTTGCAAAGAAAAGGGAGTTCTATCTCCAAAGCCCATGAGGTGAGCCATCAAAATCATCCTGTCTGATAACAAATTTGCACAAAAAAAGCTCTCCTAAAACTGAGCATTTATTTACTGCTCATTTTGGGAATCATCAAAAGTCTCTGGAAATCATACTTATTTCAAAAACCATCTAGGACACAAAAGTAAACCACTTATTTGAATGAAGCTGCATATATATTAAAAAAAAAAAAAAAAAGTCTAGCTTTCTGTGCTTTAAAATCTACTGACTTTTACAATCATATTTACAACATGAGCCCTGTTATCAAACAACCAGCAGTATTCAGGAATGAAAGACAAAACAGAGTGTATCCTATTTTTAAATTCCAATAAATATTAGTGCCTGATGTTTTCATAAAATACAACATGTGCCCCAACTACATTTTGAATACCTCCCAATAACATGTCAGTCACTACATTCTCTTTGAAAAATAAAGCAACACATTAAAAAAGAAGTGGTTCTGAAGAGATAGGGATGTGCAAACAAAAAGTTTCCGGCTGTCTGCATCAGAAGCATCTTGCAAATGTTAATATGCTCACAGACAAACACAGGAAAACTAGCCTTATGTTTTATTTAAAAGATGAGACCTTTACTTTAGACAACAATAATCTTTAATGATCAGCTGTAGCACTGGTTAATTCCTGACAAAATGACAAAGAACTAAAATCATACAATGTCTGGATGACTGATAATACAAGCACTAATTAAACTAAATGAAGCTTCTTGTATGTCTACACTTCATTCCTTGTCGCTTGTAATGATTACACAAGGAGAACATGAGTCGTCTCGTGTGTTTACTTTAGGGGACCTCCAACATAAAAAATAAAATAAAAAACCAAATCAAAATGTATGAACTACAACCAGAGTTTATCTTGGTAGATTTCCATCAAAAGGTGTGCAAAAGAACACCCTACATGCAACGCCTTGGATGTATGGATTCACAAACATCAATGCTAATTTTTATCCGCTGAACAGGATGTTTCATACTTTTGGTGAGATCTAGTCCAGATGGAACAGGCTGGAAAATGACAGACAAAACACTTCCAAGTAGGAAACACTTAACGGCAGACTTTCATCATTCTGGTTTTGGATATTAAGAAATACTAACATGTGACCTAAGTAATCCTGCAGTGCAGGGGACGGAGGCGAAACTCCTCCCAAACCAGACTCCTAAGAATCTCACATCTCTGTTTCCAACATTCCCTTCCTTCAGCACTGGATGTGCTGATATGTAACGTGTTATTTGCTAATTAACAGTTTTGTAGCCTTAGGATAATATGAATACAAAATATACACAATCATTTGTAACAAAACTACTTTTATCCTTTTACCATCACAATACAGCAGACAGAGTTCATAGTATCATATGCATATAGTTAATTTAGCTCCTCACTGCAACAAAATTCTGTTATGTGACCCAGTCAAGCTTCAAGCCTCTTTTGCTAGATTCACTGAGATGTTTTAAAGCCAGTAAAAGTGAAGGAGATTTTCCCATCTGCATCATTTGCCCCAAGTTCCACATTTACATACAAAATGAGGGAGAAAGTTTCTGAGAAAGCATGAGGAATTTCAGACTCTTCTTCTCCACATCATTTTAACTAACTCAATTATCACATATCAAATGAAAACTATCACTATATTTTATTTTTACTGTGGTAGGAAAAAATTATGACTCTCTCATTAAAAAATAAAGCCACTGTTTGCCCTGGGTTTTAGTAAAACCTCACTAATGAGACCTCAGATATAGAAAATAAGATTCATTACATTTTAAAATGGAAAAGAGTCTAATCTACCTGTCAAAACCTTTACTGCTGTACGAACAGACTTCATCTGCTTTCTACTGGGTGGGGAAAACTAAATTAAATTCAAAAGCAAATAATTACAACAACACCATCTAGTAAAACTGGAAGACATAAGTGCAAATAACTTCATTTGATGCATTATTGTTTGACGTTCAGTTAGGAACTTGTTAGAATTTCCTGAACGAGATAATGCAAACAACTTGAGCACATAAGACCAAACACTGCCAAAGGAAACATTTTTAAAATGTATAGCTTCCAAACCCCTCAAATATCTATGGATTATTTTTCTTTCATTAATGTACAACATTATACCAACTTAGGTCGCTATTAGAATGAATATTTTTTTAGATAGCTTAGAATTTGGATTTTTTTCCAAGGAATAAAAGCTGGAAGCAGCATCCAATTACACTTTGCCCTTTACTTTTAACAAACTGTGGAAGACACAGAAAATTATCTTTGAGTAGATGCGTGTCTTGGCACTAAAAAGTATCTCATGCCTGACAGAGACATTCTTCTTGCTAGTCTCCCTACCTCCATCATGCAAGCAAAACTGAATCCTCCGATTAGCTCATTCATCGCAACATTAACACTGCAGAAAGCCCGAAGAGAATAACGCTTTCCTTTCAGGTATATTTTCCTATACAAAAGCTACTGTGGTTAAACACTCGGATTCCAATCAGGCAAAATGATGCACGCTATGCACACGGGGCTGTGAATTAGCTCAACTCCGCACAGATGGAATTTATACCCAGCCACCTCACGTTTTAGGTCACTGGACAAAGCCTGAGCCCAAGGAGACGCAGGAGATGTGGACTAGGACACCTGGTGGGTAGATGAGTCCACCCATTCAGCCGAAGAGCGAGATTCCACATGCACTGACATTAAAACAAGGCACTGAGATCTCATGCACTTACCATTCGTGTAAGGGTTGACGGTCTTTTTATTTGTCATTACACGTGCTGTTGCATTATTTACCTAAGCACATAGAACACTGGATTAGAAAAGGTTACAGGGAGGGTCCTCGTTACTATTAAATGCATGCATTATTACTGCTATTAGTCATGTAAAAATAAAATGCAATTTAATTTATAGAAGGCAACAGGTGCATAACAAAATCATACTATTTATAATTACATTTACTTTCATAACCATTTTAACTTACAAATCATTTCAATAAAGCAACATCATATCATTTAAACTTTAATAAAAAGACATTAAAAGCAAATTAAAAGGTACTGCATAATTTAAGACTTAAGAGCATGCTTGTATTCCATGATAACACTGATACAATAAATACTCAAAACAGAAAAAAAGATTATATGAAGGAACATGCAGTGGAGTAGAAGGG